GAAAGTTCTTTGTCTGCCCCTGGAACCTTGGGGATTGAAATACTCCCGGGACGTTCCTTGACATAGACATTGAGTATGTGGACGGTTTTGCTATCCTTGGCTCAAAATGCGTGCCATCTTAAATAACCTAAGTGATTCTGCCACAAGGTTTGACATTCGCATCCCACCTGCAACAAGACCGAATGGGATCAAATCCGGAACTTACATTTGGAGACTAGCCTGTCGACGTGCTAGATGAATTTATCAACCTGGGCAGCTGTGTGACTTCCGGGGACTGGCTAGACATGAGGCCACTTCTCGTTTTGGTAAGGCCAGTGCAGCTTTTGCCAACCTCTGATGCATGTGGAGCGAGATGGCCCAATTGGTTAGGGCGCAAATTTACTGACCAAAAGGTCCGTGGTTCGAACCCGATCTCTGCCTCTAGATTTCTTCTGTCTAGGCTTGGGCAACCTGGCAGTATCCCAGCCCTCGTGCAGACTTCTGGTGGTATGTCAGCTAGGCACCGAAAGGGTGCTACAGTTGAACGATTTGTTCATTTTATTGTGTGGCACCGACGTGACGTCAGTTTGTCTATCAAGGGAAGAGTTTACACTGTGGTGGTGCAATCGATACTGCTTTATGAATCAGTAACTTGGCCCCTACGCGAAAAGAACATATGAAAGGTGCCAGTGTTGATAATCGGTGTCCTCGGAGCACCGGTCATGTCCAATTAGAACAGCGGGTTAGTGATAGTGAGGTAGGCTAGATGGTTCTAGAAAGAAGAAGCAACAGATGAATCACTCACGCTTCCTAAGTCACGCTGGTGAAGATATTCACTCCCCACGCCAGTGCCCTCACAGAGCTCTTATCGCCCAGCCCTTTTGCTGGGTGGGAGTGACCGGGAGGTGGACAGTGTATAACCTGGCAGTGAAGTATAAAGCACTCAGGCAGGTCGGAAACTGTTTTCTCCCTGGATGAGGACCTCGAGACTCAACTCACCGACTGCTAACGTCATGGTCGTGCATCAAAGCTCTCGCCTTCGATGCGTAGCTCCTACCCAGTTCGCAAACTAACGGAACATGCAATCGCCTCTGAAACCTGACTGTGTGTTCCACACTCCCCTTTTTCTGGTGATCGAAACTGTAGCAGTTGCAACCATTGTGTCTATGGTACACGGATTATGGCTAACAAATTTAAAGGAATTGAACTGCTAGTAGGCGCAAATGCAGGTTGGAGTACCTCGACCTTGATGAAATTGTATTACGCACCGGGTCAGCTGGGAAAGTTGATAATTAAGTGATGAAACACAAGGAAGTTAAGCAGTATTAAAGGATGCATTTTATGTTACCAAATTCTGATTGATTCGAGCTCGGTCTAAAGCATTTATCTGAAGTTATACAAAGAAGGCTTCGGTCTAAAAAATAGTTACCCTTGTTAACAGCAAGTGAACGAAAGATTTTTTATGTACGAAGTGCTTTCGGAAAAAGACAAAAGAGGCATACCGGACCCAGTCACATGTGCTTTAAAAATATCCTGTCTTGAGTTCGCGCTGCGACAGCATTTTGAACGGTGTAATTTTGATAGTGGATTCGATCGAGAGCATTATAGTACCTGTCAGTTCTCCAGAGAAATTACTGGATACGAACGTGCATCCGATGCGCTCGAAAAGGAATTATCAATCAGATTCCCATTTGCTAATGACGCTTCTAATGGGCTATTCACCTACCGCCCAGACACTAATACTGTGTTTTTGACCAACCAGGTACTAGCTTCACAAACAGGTCGCTTCAGGTGACTAGGTGCCTAAATAAGCTGCAGCGGCTGGCTGCGGTGGTCAAACTCTGGGGCAACTAATTGGTCGTGAAAGAGGGAACCCATTCTCTTGGGTTAAAGAAAGGAAAACGCGGGAAAACCTACGAGCCCAGTCTAGAGACATTTGACGTTCTTAACTCACAGCACCATCTATCTTTCGCGCCAGTTATCACATGACATTTTAGCGTAAAGAGAGAACCAAGAGGGAAATAGTTCCGTTCAGTTCCCCAAGCTTTGGTTTCATTCTTGTGTTATACGTGAATGCTGTTCCCGCACTGGTGTCTGGTGCCGGGAAAAGACTCGCTGATAAGGAATACATCAGCTTTATTGCGAACAAGCGAGTGCGCGAGCGCGAAAATACGACAGCTTTAGCCTATCATATTGGAGGGACACTGTCTGACCTTGGTCCAGTGCTGTCTCCCACTGTCTGGCATTAATACAAGGTTGTCTCGCGCTACATATTGAGGGAGCGCTGTCTGACCTTGATCCAATGATGACTCACGGTGTCTGGCTTTGATACTAGGCTGTATTTTGAGGGGGCGTTGTCTGTCTGGTCAGCATCTAGTGGATTTGAGGGTCTCAGTAGATTTCGGGCATTCAGTGGTTACTTTCAGGAATCCGACATTCCTGATTTTTTGGATGCGGAGGTATTTCAGAAAAAGGAACTACTTCTAAGAAAGATCACCCAAAGAAACAAAACTCAACATGGTCTTTCCTACTGCTGGTTTCTCCCGAACCGAAAGCGGGAAAATTGAACAAAAAACCCGAAGAAAACCATTCTGATAAATCAAATCACCCCTATCGTGTTGAATGCATCCCCAAGTGAAGTATGCACGCAGCAGACTGAATGAAAAATGTAATGTCAAACTCTGTAAGGCGTAAGTAAACCTTGGGGATCGCTCGTAGTAAGTGAAACCCCGAAGCGCTTAGATTGCCTCAGTATGGATCCGGAGATGTGGAAACGCTTTGTTTCAAGAACAGAAATACTCAATAAAGCTGATGAATTGGATCGTGTAGGATACCAAGGAAAACCAAGGGCTGGAAATGTAAAAATATGCACGTGCATCTCACACCTGAGTGTTTACACGTACTCTCAAGAAAGAAATGGGGGTGTAGCGACCGACCAGTTCGTTTTTCAACTGGATGATATTTTGGTTGATTCGGTAGACGTCATGGTATTCCTGTCTTCCCGATATTTATTGTGCGTATCGAGAAAACAGGTTGAAAGTTTGCTGTGACTCTCCGGAGATCCAGTGATGACCCTCGTCAAACTTGCAAATGAGTAAGTGTATGACCTCAAGTTCCATTCATCCAAAACGATTTACTAGTTGTCATCAAGTAAGTGGATGAAACTCTAGGTGTGCCCACCCCTGCTCTGATAGCCGGATAATTCGACCAATGCCTGTGTGACAAAGTTTGTCGCTGTCCAAAGAAAACGTTCGTGTGTTTCGATGTAACAAAGAGGAACAATTCATTATTCGAAAACTGGTTTTTGGGCTTTCGCTTGCCAGGGATCGGCTGCGAAAACAAGATGCATGCTTTGTCCAGAAACGTGATTCGCATAAAATTAGCTGAATGAAATAGTCCGTTTGAAAAGTCCAGAAATTTTAGCCGTATGACCGATCTTGTGGGACGTAACTCCATTCAGACATTAGATTTGTTTTACAAACAAGAGTACCGGCATTCTTGTGTGAAGAAGCAAGCCACATATTGGCGTTTGGTCAAAATTCTACATTGCTATAGGCCTGAATACGTTTGAATCCAATGCCCCTCATCAGCAGTGCAGGCGGTGACCTTCTCAACTGCATAGCCGGAAAGCTCACTCAGTTACTCACTGAAAAGGGCAAGACTTTGCGGGAACAACCGACAATACGTTTGCTTACTAGCCGATGTCGTATGCTCCCACATTCCTCCCGTCCATGGAAAAGAGACCCTTACCTTGCTTCAAATTCGGCTTCTTTTGTTTTTTTTTGGCGAAACTCGTAATGAAAGACTCAGTTTGACCGCTTCGAATGACGCTCCTTATGAGGATGTTTTCTTTCCATCGACCCACTACTTATATGGCTTCGAAGGCTACTCAACAGATCACAACCGTTTCCTCGTTCCCTAAGACTCGTCAAGCGGGCGTAGTCCCCACGTCTATGTCTGAAGAAATACGCTCAACTGCCAACAGTTCAGTGCCAGCCTTAGGTGGCACGGAATTTGAGATACCATTGTACATGTTCACGACTTAACGCACTACTTACAGAGATTTCCCCCCAACAAAACCAGAGCGACACACTCGAGATTGATTGACGAAGTTCATAGTGTAGTCGTTCACCGACCTTTCAGCAAACGATTAAACTGTGCAGGTTCGCACGACACGACTTTGGAAATTTAGGGCAGTGGGTGTGAGAACTTTTCGCACTCTGTTTTGGAGCAGTATGTAGTGCATACCCTCAGAAGGAACTTGACCGCATCACCGCGGATTTCAGTGTTGCACTCTATTTTCATCTTAGGGACTATCGGGATTATCATCATCACAATCATTGTCATCATCATTATCAACCAATCATCATCGTCGCCTTCATCATCATCATCCAATCATCATCGTAATCATCATCAACCAATCATCATCATCGTCGTCATCATCATCGTCATCATAATCATCATCAACCAATCATCATCGTCATCATCAACCAATCATCACGGTAATCATCATTATCATCATGATCACGGACAGCATGATATCAGTGTTCAACACCGGCGCTTAACTGCCGAATACCTGGATGCATACCGCGTACTCCCAAGTGATTTTTACACCCTATTTCTGTTAGGATTAGTCAGCCGTATGCTAGTACATGTCTGTAGAAAAGTCGGAACCCAAAAGCTAGCGGAAAGCAGTGTATGCACGTACGGGTTGAAAATGCTATGGCTGATAGGTGGCTCCAAATGATTGAACTGTCCCTTTGGACAACCCAAATGCCGTGACCCTCACGGACTGGAGCTGAAGGTTACCGGCCTGTTTCAAGTACACAGTTTGGAACTAATGGCCAGTCTATTCAAAACGTTTTGAATGCAAAAACTAACACAGGAAGCACCCACTTAATCTGTCTGTCCCACGGAACCAAACTCGCTTTCTGCAAGGTTTATGGGCAAAAACCAATGTCTAATGGATGCCTCCGGGGTGTTAATCATCTCAAACAAATATCCAAATTGATTTCACTCACTTGCTTGTAAACTTTGTTGTCCTGCATGAAGTTGTGCACATGTTTTTCGGCGCGTGAAAGTTCAAGTTTTCGTGCCACCACGGCGACAACCAGAGCCGTACAGGCTGAACCCTGGACAGGTGGAAAAGACGGGGAATGAACGATGAAAAAAATCAACCGGGTTGAAAAAAACAAGGGCGTGCATAAATTAGACACCAAACGTGTGTCAGTAGCAAAACCATTCCAAAGCTTTCAGCCCTTTGGCAATATGCATAGCAGCGTAGCGTGAACTATTTTCCGACTTGTTGTTGGGATCTCTGTTAGTAGCCTGATTTAACGCATTCTGCACTAAAATTGTTGAGGTTTGTCACGTGATTTTTGACAAGAATGTATCGGGCCGCACGTTGTTGGTTTTCAAACTTGAAGCGAAGTGAAGCAGGGTTTCACCTTCTTTGGTCAGTTACTCAAACCAAGCCGTGAACTTCAATTTTTTACAGACAGCTATTCATCAACACTGAGGTAATAAAACCATATTCTAGTCAATCACCTACAGTTAAGTACTCAGGTGGAGTTATTTTTAAGTCGTTTCGGAATTTTCAAAGTTTGTTCTAATGTTTTCGTTTTCAAAGTCTAATGTTTTCGTAGAGGAAACTACTCACAAGGTTGCTGAAAACTCTTCGACAGCCCTTTCTTGTGGCTCATCAGGTAGGGTAGGTCCCCGAGTTTCCGTCAACCTTATGTTCTACTTGAAGGTGTCACTATTCTTCTAGCCATCAGCATTCTGATAAAAGTGAGTGTGTCAGAGTGGCTCTTCCCAGGTTATCTTTGCGTATTACCGTCTATCGACAATCGGCACAGCTAGCGTATTGACTTAAATTGACGCATTTATCCCACATAAAGGAATTCATTGTAGAGTGATGATCGGAAATCGAGAATTTCGATCCGCTACTTTGTATACTACTGTGCATACTTGCTTTATTGTGATAAGTTCAAGGAGTACCGGAAGAGAACGCAGACGGGGGGACCCAATATGTGCCTTGCTTTTCAAACCAGTATCCCTATATTTGTAGGAAATTCAGATTGAGGTACCATCTCAAGGCAACAGACACAAGGAGTCATTACAGCTTGCTTCAAGGATGGCAAAAGGTCCTGCTGCAGACAAGAACATCAACTAGAGATACACAATCGGCTATGCGGAAGGTCTCGTCAAGCAGCCTCTTGATGACGGGTCAATCTCTCTTACAAACGAGAGCAATCTTCGAGGTCAAATACCAAATGTCAGACAACAACACGCTCACCCAAGTCACTGTGTTTACAATTCGCTTCCATCCTGTATCGTGTTCGAAAAGTGGCTCGATGCACTATTCCAGGAGTTCAGAGACACACTTGCCTAGATAACCAGGCATTTCACACAAATCAGCTACATTCTGTTGGACACAAGAAGCTTAGCATTACCATGGCTAATCCGCAGCAATTTTCTCCAACGCCGCGAGAAACTTTGGAGATGGTATTGTCTCTGAGTGTATGGTCCGTCATATTGCTTTCTGATATATGGTCACACTGGGTGTGACGGTTAAACTACTGAACTAAGTAACTAGGCCAACCTTTTTTCTCTACCTGCAACGGGTCAGTTTAAGAAATCATCGTGGTCTCAAAATCAATGAACTATTGGGAGTAGTGATCGGCAACCTAGCATTTACCATGCTTTCATTATTCAACCTTGGTTTGCGCCGCAGAATTAGGCATCTTTAATCCAAGTTGCCTGAGTTCGCCCGGAAGCCGGAGCTACCAGACACTATTCTCTGAGAAGGCCACTTTTCAGAAACGAGATCACTTAGCTGATCCCCAGAAATTTTTGAATGTTAAATATCCTCCAGAAAGCATATGTCGGTTGATTTTCCGAGATGGTATCTCAAAAACAAATGTGTACGCTGTTTGATCTGCTTCAAGTTTGCATCGATTTTTCGGAGATTTTGAAAGGTCCATTCACGGGCTTATTCATAATCATTTCAAAAAGACTACGTTTACATAATTCGTGGTCAAAATTGAATGTAAGATAAGCTGGAGGGGCTTTCAATCTTATGAGGGCAAAGACTACAAAGTCGATCAACAGGACAAGTTGATTTGAATGTGACCAAAAATTAAGCTAGGATTTTGGCCGTTCGCTCAATGGCTGATTTTCCAATACACCCAACTCTGTGTTCAGTCCATTGCAGCGAGCATGTAGGTTCGGGATGACCCCGCAGTCATACGAACCGCTTGGTTACGTCAAAGTAACCGCAACTCTTTTTTAATCTGTGACTCCGTGTTTCCGGAGGGCTACAGTTCCTGGTTGAAGATAGGGAACTTGAGACCAGTTGATCTTGCACAAGCCACATCTGTAACAGATAAGTCCACCCACCCTGAACTCACAATATTTACTGACCCTTTGGAATTGTGGTACGTTCACTCGATTGCCGCCTCCTGGAGGGTGTTTCACGAATCAATTCCCTGCAACGATGCTGTTATATATGGCTGTTTTCCCGCCCCGGTGCATGTTGCCAGAAATAAAGACTCAGCGACAATGGTACACAACAGCTTTATTACAACAAGCGAGTTAGCGTGTGTGCAGCGGCCCGGCGCTCTTCAAAGGGCACTTTTTAACGCTGATCTGGGCTGTCTGACAGGCGTTTAGTGAACACCAATCAACATTAATCGTGTTTCCATAAAATGCATGAATGCTGATCACATTCGGCCATTCTTCTGTGGCGTGCCTGAACACTCATCAGCTTTTGCTGAATCCATTGAATGATTGACTGGCCTGAATGCTTGCCGACTTTCCTAGAGAGATCTTGGTAGAGTTTCAGGGCCTCAGTAGATTCTGGTCGTTTTGTGGTTACTTTGAGGAATCTGACATTCCTGATATGGCACCCTTGTATATGTACGCAACTCTGAGTACTATTCGGGTAAGACCGAAGTCATGTGCGCACAGGATTAGTTACTCTTATCACAGTAGCTTATGTCACACACAAAAAAACTCGTCCAATAAGTTTGCACAGAGTACGGAACAATCACAGATAATTTTCGCTGGCCTGCATCCGTTTAGTTAATCACTTTCAATGGCCGTTGAAGTGATTCGACCGAACAAGTAGCCGCCTAAGTGAAAAAATGTATTTCCTTGCAAATTAGTTTTTTGTTCACGGAAGGCTTGGACGAATTTATAGTTTATCGTGCTCCTCACCAGCCAACATCCGACGTCGTCTTCTTGCTCCTCGGCAGATTGGCTTGACTCCCGGATTCCAACCAATCCCGTGTTCTACTCACTACTAATTGTATCTCATCAGCTGCGTACAATACGACATTCAAATAAAGTATGGCGTTGATGGAAACTCAGGGCTATGCCCAGTGATGAGCACCAAGTAGAGCAAAGTCAGTGGTCAGGGAACAAATAATTTTCTTCCGTCAGGTGTTAGCCTGTTTGAGTGTGTCAACTGAACTTCACTGGTTAATATCGTCTAATCAAGCCTTGTCTTCTGCAAGTGACCAGGTCGTGTGGAGCGATTTGTCCGCACGAAGAAAGCAGACAGAAAGTGGCTAAATACACTCATTTGCAAACGAATTCGCTTTTGCGAATGACTCACCTGGAACCCGACCAAATGTGCTGCACCAGGCCGCCCCATGTTTTAGTTGCTACGATATTCGAGATATCACGATACACGTAAATACGTAAGGCACCACTCATAAGGTGTGTTTCGCTAACTACGTGCAATTTGGTTTTGAGTAGAACATAAGGTTGACAGAAACTCGGGGACTGCGCCTACCTGATGAGCCCGAACTGGAAGGGCGAAACCGCTCGTGGGCTTTCAAAGAATTTTCCAGCGACTTATGAGTAGTACATTACGTGCAGACAGAAAGTAATTCATCCGTATGATCTCCGAGGAGTGCCAAACTTAACTGTTGTACAAAGAGGTCTGATAAGCCTACGGTTGTATGTCGAACTCAAAAACAGTGCACATTGGTAGAGCCAAGTGGGCCGTCTACAGTTTTTCCGATGACGCCACGACACTGACTTGAAAAAGATCAAACTGGAGCCTATCCACAGGGACATGGATGTACTGAAGTTACTGATGGATAGATAAGGGCAATCTGTCGCATACGACACATTAAGGCTTATGTAGGTTGCGCATGGAAAACGGTTTTCACCCAGAAAGAACATGGTTAAAGTGAGCCTTTATTAGAAGTAGTCTGTAAGTAGTCTATAGGCGAAGTAGTTTGTCTGAATCACTCCCACCGGGGAATATAATGTTTCGAATATCTTAATATTTCACTGACAACAATGGCAGTCTGTCAAAGTTTCTTGATACCACTCACCGACACTGGATAGCACTTTCAACTGAGCATAACCGCGTGTGAGATGTTTGTTACAGAGCACTTTGTGCGTTGAAAAAACCTGCGTGTTTTGTTACATTCCAAACTGTAAACGTCTTTGGACCAAATCAATAAACAGTGATCAGTACAACACACGGCCACGTAAATCGGCTGACTGATGGTGTTGGCTAGAACGTCATCTAGAAGATTTTTAGGTCATTTTCTGTAAAAAAAACAACTTATAAATTTGCCGGAAACTCCTCAACGGTCTGTGATGGTTTTCTCCTGCTTGGAAATCAATAACATGGGCCAAATCTCCGGGTTTACGGTAATCGTATGATCTAGCCTAGCACCNTTCCGTCAACCTTATGTTCTACTTGAAGGTGTCACTATTCTTCTAGCCATCAGCATTCTGATAAAAGTGAGTGTGTCAGAGTGGCTCTTCCCAGGTTATCTTTGCGTATTACCGTCTATCGACAATCGGCACAGCTAGCGTATTGACTTAAATTGACGCATTTATCCCACATAAAGGAATTCATTGTAGAGTGATGATCGGAAATCGAGAATTTCGATCCGCTACTTTGTATACTACTGTGCATACTTGCCTTATTGTGATAAGTTCAAGGAGTACCGGAAGAGAACGCAGACGGGGGGACCCAATATGTGCCTTGCTTTTCAAACCAGTATCCCTATATTTGTAGGAAATTCAGATTGAGGTACCATCTCAAGGCAACAGACACAAGGAGTCATTATAACTTGCTTCAAGGATGGCAAAAGGTCCTACT